ACAATTTTTTTTGTTACACACTAAAAACAATATCGACTAAATGGCCACCCCCAGCATTAATGCAATAATGAGCTCTTTTTAAGGCTTTTTCATAACTCTCCTTTTCAGGTGGTATTCTGTCAATTTCCTTCCGGATGTTATATTTAATGCTTCTAGTGTTCGAGGATTATTTACAAATACCCTATCTTTGAGATAACCCTATAACCAAAAGTCTGGAATAGTTAAATCGGGAGATCTTGGCGGATATGCAGTATCGGTGTTTTTCGAGATAAGGCGTCCAGGAAAAATTCTGATAATCGACAATTTATTTTGATATTTTACGATTATTTTACGATTTCGGCACGTTCTCGAGGCGTACATCGATTCATAATGAATTTCCCAAGTATCTACTTTGCAATTGACAGAAAAATTCGAACATATGTCAACTACAAACCATGACAACATTCGTAGGGTACTTGATTTTGCGCCACCTTGTATTAGAGTAAATATTAAATGGCACTCGCACATGCAAGAAAAAGAACGACACATTATCAATGGTGCCATTTGCAGTTAGAGTAACGGGTTGGTAAACTGCTATCAACTGGTAACTGGCAACGTCGATACCAAATCCTTTCCTCTCCTGCACATGCGAACAACATTTACTATTCACTCCAACATAAGCAAAGCGAGACCGGTGGAGGTTTGGCAGCAGTATATATCGAAAATATAAAGCGATATAATAGAAACAGGAAACAAAAACCACCCAAAAAGTTTCTTGTTTTAACCATAAGTGCGAACTAGAAAATTTTAAATCAGAAAATTTCGAAAACAATAGTTTTTTTGACATAGTCATATGTGTCATTTAACCAAACAGAATTTGTCTAAAGGGAAGACCCCAACTAACTAATGAAATAATGATAATACGATAGTTCAAATCGAGAGGTAAACCTCTCCCTAAATACTGATATCTTTTCACTCGAAATTACCGAAATCACTACACATTTTCATGAACATTCTGAAATCATCATCGAAAATCATGGTCGAAATCATCGCCGAAATGACTTCGAAATCACTTCGAAATCAATACGTCGTCCAAAAACGTAAATGCAGCAGCTTGTGGATTAAAATACAAGGAAATGGTCCAACAAAAAAGTCATCAAATAAAATTTTCAGCGAGATCACCGAAATCACATAAAAAAAAATTAGGTGATTTTCGAAATACGTTTTGACCTTAGCGGTTTACCCCTCGTTTCGAACTATAAATATTCGAATGACAAAACTTCGAAACTAGAAAAGTTTGAAATTGAAAAGGTCTAAAGTGAGTTAACCAAAAAATATTAAAATTAGAATAAATGATCAAACTCGCATATGATCGAAATCACATATAGTTTAATACTATTAGTGATTGAAATGATATATGAATGAAATAAAGCGTTATAAAAGTGTTTCTAAACATCATTTTATAATTGAAGAAGGTAATTCCGTGGCTCATATTTGAAAGTGAGTCTAAAGTGAGTTAACCAAAAAATATTAAAATTAGAATAAATGATCAAACTCGCATATGATCGAAATCACATATAGTTTAATACTATTAGTGATTGAAATGATATATGAATGAAATAAAGCGTTATAAAAGTGTTTCTAAACATCATTTTATAATTGAAGAAGGTAATTCCGTGGCTCACATTTGAAAATGTGTCCTAAATTGCTTTGTTTCCAAATTTTCAAAAATAATCAGTTTTTCAATATCATAAATACCTACTCTATTGCCGATTTTGATAAAATTTGGTACATTTGTTTGTTTGAGTAAGAGAGGCTGATTTATAATTGATTAGATCGAAATTATCAATTCCAGTGAAGTACCCAAAAACAACCTTATTAATATTAATGACAAAAAAAACACGCCACTATGTACTATATCAGCATAAGTTATGTTAGCATAATATTTTTTTGGCGTGCAGTTTTAATTTTTTATCTCGATAAAAACACGAAAAATAGAAAAAGTTTAAGAGATAAAAAAGATGTGTTTTTGATTGGAAAATCTGAAAAAGGAAAGAAAAAAGATAAAAAGTCAGTGGCGTTTTTTTTTTTTTTTAATATCAATTAAGTTGCCTTTAGGGACGCCTCTGGAATTAATAATTCAGATATAACTAGGTCAAAATTAGTCTCCTACTATAACAAATAAAACTTACAAGTTTTATTAAAATCGGTAGAAGAGTGTTTATTATATGAATGAAAAATTGATTATTTTTAAAAATTTGAAAACCGTGTATCTTTGAAAGAAAGCAATTTAGGACACATTGTGCCAAGGAATTACCTCCTTCAATTATGACATAATGTTTAGGAACACCTTCCATAATAATATTATGAAATTAGTAAATTAGTTTTATTTTAATTTTTCTTATTTGACAAAATGTAAAAAAATATTTTTTTATAAAAATTGTTCAAACAAAAGTTGTTTGTAATATAATTCTCTATAATTTTTATTTTATACATAATTTCTCTAAAATTCGAGATATTTGAGAAAATGTGTAAATTTCGAAATTTGAAGAAAACTCAAAAACGGATAAAGAAAAAAAACATTAAATTTTAAACTTAAGTTTTATTTCGGCCTGACGTAAAATGATTAGATTTTGGACAAAGTCGGAACATCTGGGGGGGTACTTTATGGGGGGCCGTTTTTATATTTTATGGAATATATCTGTTATTTATGTTTGGAGAAAAAAATTGTTCAAATAAAAGTTATTTCTAATATTATTATCTATAATTTTTGTTTCATGTCAACATTTCCTGAAATGGTCCGTATTCGAGAAATTTGACAAAATGTGCAAAATTCTGATTTTTATGAAAATTATTGAAATAAAAGTTGTTGGCGATATCGATCTCTATAATTTTTGTTCATATATGATTTTTCTAAAATGGACCGTAATGAAAAAAATGTCGGAAAAGTGCTAAATTTAAATTTTTCAGTATTTTCATTTTCAATGAATATCTATAGAAAAATGTTTCTAGGTAGATGTATGTGGAAAATGTATATATCTATTTTATCCTCTAAACATTTATGGAGGTGCTGCAATAGGTTGTACAAAATAACCGGAAAAGGCCTGTAATAACTAGATAGGAAAGTCATGTGTTGGACACATCAGATTTTTGTAAAGAGTATTATAGGTTCACTTTGTCTGTCCGATGTCACGTTTTTTGTCTGCACAATAAGTCAAAAACGAAAAATGATATCAACTTGAAAATTTTAAGCAAAAATCAAGCTCTATAAAGGGACAAAGCTGATTGATTTTTAACAAATCTGACTAAAAATAGGGGGTTAAGATGGGTTCAAATTAAAAAGAAAACCTAAATTAAAAACGAAAAGCGATATCAACATGAAATTTTTAGCAAAAATGAAGCTTTATAAGAAGATAAAGCCTATTGATACTGAAAAAAATATGAATATATTGGGAGCCAAGAGGGGTTAAAATATAAAAAAACATCCTGGAAAACGAAAAATGATATAAACTTGAAATTTTTAGCAAACATCAATTTCTAAAAGGAGAAGAATCCCTTTAATTATAAAAAACCTTTCTGATTAAATATGAGGGATTTAAGGGGGATTGAAATTAAAAAAAAAATCAAAAATGAAAAGCGATATTAACATGAAATTTTTAGTGAAAATCAAGCTCTATAAAGAGATGAGGCCTATTGATTATGAAAACAATCTGGTTGAATATGGGGGTTAAGGGGGTCTATTAATTTGCGAAGAGTATCATTTAGAATGCCAGGTATTATATATCTTAATTCTAGAGTTTGTGTCTGTGTAATACTATGTATTGTGATGGGACTGCTCTTATAAAATAAACAATTAAAACATTTTAGTTCTTATTTTATTTTCCAATAAAAGGTATTTAAAAAATATATTTTTTATTTGACATCTGTGACAAATTGTGAAAATGATTAAACTTACAATAAAAACTAAAAAATGGTAGGTAAAGTTTCATATAAAATTTTTTACACAAAAATCAATGTCAAGCTTTCTACATAACTTGATATATATTTAAAAATAATCTCAAATTATGAAGAAAAGTCAGTTTACCAACTAATAATGTTTATAGATGGTTTTCAACGTATTAAAAATAGAACAAATATTACACTAACTAAAATATTCATTTATTAATAGTTGTAGTGCTTGAAAACAGTATGATGTTGATAATAATAACTACACTTAATACAAACTCAAATAATAAAAAAAACAGCGATATTGACTTTTGTACAAAGTTTTGATTCGAACTTGCAATTGATAAAATTATTGGAAAAAGTGAACACCCATTTCAAATTACCACAAGCCGGCACTGTAATCAAGATAGTTTCTCAGTAGATAAAATCTTCCCCGTACCCAAAAATATAATAACTGAAAACCATTGTGCTAGAAGAAGGCAGTTCATTAAATTTTAGTTATTTGGTGTAATCTATGAAAAAAATTAAATAAATGGCAAAAATTATATATTTTCTTTTTTTTTTAAGAGTACCTTCTTTTTTTTAACTTTGCAAAGATTTATTACCAAGAAAACTCGTAAGAAATATATCACCCTATGATTAGAATGTTTTAATTTTGTTAAAACAAGATGCAATTTTTATGAAATGTTTTTTCTTATTACCCAAAAGTTAACAAGAATTGAGCTACATCCTTATATATTACCAAGAAAAGTTGTAAAAAATATGTCACCCTTTGATTAGAATGTTTTAATTTTGTTATAACAAGCTGCAATTTTTATAGTACGTTTTTTTTTATTTACCAAAAGTTAACATAAATTGAGCTGCACCCTTCTTGCAGGAAGGCCCTCAATTAAGGAAGTAGTGTTAATAAGAAATAGTACTAAAAAATATATATTTAATTAAAAACCTAAGATGAAACTAATTGTTTTGTACCAATTTCTTCTATAAAATAATTTTTTAATTGAAACTAACGCTAACACTTCTTCTCAAACAGCATCATGAGCGCAACAAGTGGTTAAATAGCACTAAACACTTACCTATTGACTTAATCCTAGTCCTAAACCTCGAGTAGTACCGAAATTAAAGAGGAGGCTCGAAGGATCATAAACGCACCTCAAGAAATTGCACTCACAGGCCGTACCGCTGTTGCATTCGCACTGACTACTTGCTAAATTTCTTCTTTGGCGAACGACACTTGTCTGCTATTTCTGCTTTCACTACTTGCTCGTTGTATATTAGAAAACTGAATACAATAGCCACAGGTATAGCCAGTTGCGTTGCTTCTTCGATGAAACGGAATTGTGTCAAACCGAAAACTTACTCAAAACTTGGTCAGTAGAATTCGGTTGTTATAAAATAAAATAAAAGAAAGTTCTTAATAATTTTTCAGTAGTAGCCCTGCTAGGCAACCAGCACGGATTGAATTTTTTTTGATCAAATTAAATGGTTATACTAAGAATAGAGGAGGAAATATCTTGCAGTCACATTAAGTACCAGGCTGGTAACATTTCGAGGGTGGGGGGTTTGGACAATAGGCCGTTTTTTTAATTAAATAATTATAATAACAATATAGTGTTACGATAAGTGTTAGATTAGGTTTACGGGTTGATTTGCATTTTGAGTATTTGTTTTATTTTAATTAAATTAAGAAACGTTATTGTAATTAGACTATTCAAGGATGCTCGTAATTCTTGGCCTCATTGGGGTTTTTTTGAACTATTACACTGAGACTGAGAAAATGGTGTTTGAAGTTTTCAGATTTTTTGTTTACAGTTTTTTAATTCTATCTATTAAATTTTTATTTAATTGGATTTCATGATTCTTTAAACCCTCATTTATGAACTTCTCTTTAGTTATTAAGCAAAAGTTTATTGTCAAATTGTAAGAAATTGTCAGAAAATAGAGTTATGTTGTTATTGCACTAACTTTATTCGTGCTATTGTGGAATATTTGCCAAATAAGGCAGCTTGACTGTGGGGTTTCTTAAAACCATTTAACAAAGCTGGCCAATCGGACACTTGAAATCTGACAAATTGCTTTGGAAAGACATTATACAGAATGTCTCTAAACGTCCATCAGATTTACTAGGGAATGAACATTTTAAGAAACCGACAGTAAGTGCAATAAAAATGTTATCACTAGAGTATTATTTTTTCAGCCAATGCACAAAAATTTATTTTAAATTAATTGTTTTGCATAATGATCGAGAATAAAATTTAGGTATTATTTTTTAAGTCCTCGAAATAAACAAAAAAATTAGTGATGCCGCGAGACGAGAGATTCTCGTCTCTCGTCTCGTCTCTAACGAGACGAGAGAGACATTTTCTCTCGAAAACAGATTTGAGATGAGAGAGTGTCATCTCTCGACGAGAATTTCTCGTTTCTCTCGAGCTCTTTCAAACAATTTTCTCTTTGCTTATTTGCAATTTTCAATTGCTTATCGTAACTTAAAATTATTATATTATATTAGATTTTGAGATAGTCAAAAAGTTAACTATAACACACCTATTCTATATATTTTTATTAAATGGTAACAAATGATACATGTGTTATTAGGATTTTATAAATAGTGATTTATAAGAAAAAATATTTCTCATTTCATTTATTTAAAATTTATACATTTCTTACATTTAATCCATTCTGCTTTTCTGAGGTTACTTTTAAAGATAAATTGAAAATTTTTAAGCGTTTTTTCAAAAAAGGTAATACAAACGAATGTATTATATACAATGAGGAAAATTGTATTCTCCTCCATTTTAACTTCTAAATGAAAAAAGATAATGACAAAACGAAAACGAGGTAAAACTCAAGAGATATTATATTTTTGTTATAACGAGATGCACTTTACTTAAGACACGTAAAATAGAGGGAGTTACTAGCTTTAAATTTTCTAATGGAAAGTAGGGTCATGTGATACCTCATTTGAAAAATATTTTCTATATTTTTACGTTCATGTAAACAGATTAAAGTTTTTATGTTACATTACATTAAATAAATTCATAAAGTAGGTTAAATTCTTTTTTTTTATTTACGCTTCAACTTCAAAGGATCATTACCGGAGGTAGAATATATTATAAATGCTGTGTTTACAATAGTATACAATGAATAATTAACATTTTGGCTAGTACAGAGTAAATGTCAGTATCTTTTATAAATTTAAGTAATTTTTTACTGTTAGAGGGATTTAACACTGCACAAATGGCATTTTTTGTAGCTGGTACTTTGTTCTAATACAGACATGTTCTAAGCATTTACTCATAAGTTACATTCTTGATAACTCTCGTATTAACAATTAGTGTTTATTACTAAGGAAACGCTTCTTGCATTTACTAAAATAAATAAATTATGAATATCAAACATGATTTAAAAGCCACTTGACGTATTAAATTTTTCATAACTTCTTGGCAAAAAAAATCTTATTAAAAAATTCTTTTCTAACATTATCTAACATTTCTAGGATTACTGCGGCACACGAGGATTCTCAAGAATGTAATTTTTGTAAAAAAAAAAAAAAAAAAAATTGTTTGCTTGGACGTAAATATAATCAAAATATCTTTCAAAAGAGGTAATACATGACTTTACTTTCCATTAGAAAATTTAAAGATAGTAACGCCCTTTATTTTACGTCTCAAGTAAAGTGCATCTCATTATAACAAAAATATCATAATGTTTCTCTAATTTCACATCGTTTTTGTTTTATGTCTCTATCTTCTTGTATTTTGAAAACATACTACAAAATGCTATAATTTGACATCGCAAGATTGCTTTAAAAAAATTCTAACTTCCAATTTAACCTCTTTCCCCCCTCCCAAACTGACTTACAAGACAAAATATTTTCGTTTTTAGTTAACGCCTAAACTGGGCCACGTATTACTTCAAATTTCAATTGTAAAAAGACTGTAACAGACGGAAAGACAGAGAGATATAAGTGTTTCTTATTGCCAAATTTAAGTACTAATGCGCAAATTACTTTATTTTTGTCTTACAAATTTTATCGTTTTTTCATGTTTCGTCTTTTTCAAATTTAAATTTGATATTGTTTTATCACGAGAGAAACGAGACGAGACAAGACAAGAGAAAGGCTCTCTCGAGCGAGAGAAGCGCCTTCTCGTCGAGACGAGGGAACAGTTTTCTCTCGTCCTACGAGATGAGACGAGAGAGGCCACTCTCTCGTCTCGTCTTGTCTCGCGGCATCACTAAAAAAAATAGACGTTGCATTTTTCGTTTATTTTTATTTAAAAATTATCAAATACAAAATAAGTAAGAAAATATTTTTTATTTAATTTTTTACGTGATACTGAAGACGAAGACTTCTTCTGAGGTGGCACCAGACTTCTTTTGAGGTGGCACCAAAGACTTCTGAGGTGGCACTAAAGACTTTTTGTTTTTGTGGTAAAACCAACAAATTTTGCAATCAACAAAACGTGTACGCGCATAATAACTGTAACAGGTTTCTGCAAAATTTTGACTTAGGTTTGTCTTGTAGTAAAGAATATCTTACAAGATTATTTAAGAATAGAAGAATGTAAAACATATTTTAACTTATGGTAGTTTTCATTTAAAGAGGTGGCTAGTTTAGTTACTTATAACACTTTAAAACTAAATATGTTGGTATTGTATTTCTGCATTTCAAAAGTTCAAAAAGGAACAACAATATTTTTAGTTATGTTGATGTTGTATCAGGAAAAGTATTTTCAGGAAAAATTCAATAGTAACACTTCTGTTATTTATAGGACGTTCTTTCGATTTAGAGATATGTTGGTATTTTATTATCAAAGTTAGCATCTAACACTATAATACCGCACAAATCTCAAAATCGATCAATTTTGAGTTAGGGTGGTCTTGTACTCATAGTGCGACATATCAATATGCACTTCTAGTTTGCTCAATGACTTGTAACTAAAACATAATTCATTTTAATATCCCAGCTAGCACATAACTTTGTTAAGCCTTTTGGCGATGTTTTTTAGGGAACATAATGACATTACTATACAACTTAAATGCAACGTTCATAAGAGGTTATTATGGGACATCCAAACCTCGCAAAACTTCTAATGGTTACTTACCTTTTTAACCTGTTATGTTAACACAACGTTACATTCTAATTTGTTAATGAATCCACGAGAAGTATTGTAAGCGTCACATTGTGTATCGGAACGTAGCCATTTGTGTATGTTCATATCATAATAACAAAACCAAAAAAAATTGTCACTTTTCTTGTTGTGTTTTTTTTTAGCAATTTAGAGAATTTATAAATTTTTATGCGTTAGAATAAAATTGAAAAAGGTTTTCTAAATCATTGTATGTTATTTCAGATTGCAATGCCTGATGCAGAAAGTAATATTTCGTTTATTATCGAAAACAAAATGATTTAGTTTCTACAACAATAAAAAAAAATAATGGCGGATAAATAATTGTTAACGAGAAGATATATTTTATAGTAAATGATTAAAAAACCGGTCAAGTGTGAGTCGGACTCACGCATGAAGGGTTCCGTATTATCGTGTAAGATTTAATACTATGTAGGTACTTTTTAAATAATTTATTAAGATCGAGGAAAAAAGTAAAAAAACACGTTTCTAGTAGGGGCAGCCCCCTTTAATTTTTATTTTTATTACTGGTTGTTACAGTGGCAACAGGAATACACATTCTCTAAAAATTTTAACTGTCAACTGTCTACTTATTACGGATCAGGAAATAAAGCTCGCTGTCAGACAGACGGACAGACGGTCCAGGTTTAGTAATAGCACAGTTTAAAGAATATATCTTTAAACTGTGGTTATAGGATCTCACTGCGGTTACCCTTCGGGTATGGAACCCTAAAAAGAGGTCTACAAAACTAATTTCTGGGTAATAATATTCTTAATCAAAATAAAAATACATATAATAGCTATTTGTGTATTAAGGGCGAAAAGTGATTCTTTGCCTTTTGAGACAAAAAATTGGCAGCGCGACGCGTAGAAGAACGCGGCAATCGGTCGAAAGCGGTTGCTAACTTTTCTCTCAAAATGCACACAAGATTTTTTCTACGATCACACTTTTTAAAAAATAGATATAGAAACTGAAAATTTGTCGTAAGTAGTGTATTGCCTATATCTACGTTAATTATGAAAAAAGCAGTTGGTATTTAAAATCCATGTTAACTTGGATAACATAACAAAATAACATGTAGCTATATACAAATGACTTAAAAATCATTTACTAAAATGAAATATTATTATACTATTAATTTAAATTAGGCTAGGAACAAAGCTGTCAACTTTGTCGCTCGGCGAGCGACAAAGCTGTCACTTAATGTCAGTTCGCCGAAAACGTCAACTTTGCGGTTGGATTTCGAAGCGCAATAGCCTACTTTGATAGTGATCGTCGAAAAAAATATTATATTGTAGGTGTCCTTTGTACTGGATGATAATTCTAGGCAAAAACTCAGTAATTTTAGAAGCAAAAGTAAA